ATGTGTTTTTTCCATATGGATAACCAGTTATCCCACACTCTTAAAAAGTCTGTGTTTTTTCTCAACTGTCATAGATCAAGTTTCCAAGTATCTAAAAGTCTATTTCTGGGTTCTTTATTCTTTTCTTTTTGTCTGTTTCCATGTCAAAAATGATACGGTTTTAGGTACTGTAACCATATATCTTCGCAGTATTTTAAATGGAGTAGGAATATGTGTTTCAGGGAGACTGGTTTATCATGAGGAAACAGATATCAGACCTTATGCCACAATGTGGTTACATGTCCATCAGACTTGGAAGGTGCATCTTGCTTCAGGGGAACTGAAGTCACAGGGTATTAGGGATTTGAGCCTTAAGGGAAGGGAAGGGGAGGGGAGGGGGGAGGGTTTAAGTGTGTGGGAGAGGGTCATCAAATAAGATGAATATGAAGAAATTCAGGAGGAAATGTAATAGATGGACTCCTTGAATGTTAGAACCATAAGGGACCTTTGAAGCCACCGGAGACTGTGTGGAGTAGTTCAGCTAAGTGATCAGTCTTTGGAGTCTGACAGATCCAGGTTTGATCTTCACCAAGACTCTTAACCTCTCTGGATCTTAATTTTAATTTCCTCATCTATAACATGAGGACAATAATGGCTTTTCCTCATAGGACTCTTGAGAGGACTAAATCAAGTAGTGCACATAACGGGCTTGAAAATGTCCTGGCACGGAGCTGTACAGAAACTAAATGGTAGTTACTTACTACCCTATTTCCTTGATTCTAGGGCCGACTTCTTTTTCTTTTGCCACATTTTACAATTCTGAAATTAGAACAGGCTTTCCTATCATTTCCTGTAGTACTTGTTTTTCTTCCCAGATTGTTGTTTAGAATGTGGGAAACAGAATATTTTTTATAGGATTTTTTTTTTAAAGATTTTATTTATTTGAGAGAACATGAGCGGGGCGGGCAGAGGGAGAGAGAGAAGAGGACTCCCCACTGAGCAGGGAGCCCGATGCGGGGCTCGATCCCAGGACCCCGGGATCATGACCTGAACTGAAGGCAGATTCTTAACTGACTAAACCACTCAGGCGCCCCGGGAAACTGAATATTTTATAGACTAGGAAATGGAGCCAAAATGCTATATCCAGGATCACCCAGCAAGTTGATTTGGTCATCCTAGGAATCTGCTATTCCTAGAGAGAAGAAGGAAGGAGAAAAAACCCATCTTCACTTGGGATGGGGATGGTTTATATGCAATGAGACGCTGTAGGCAAACTTTAGTTAGGGTGCGAAATGGAACCTGATGCCTTCCAGAAGAGAGAAGTTGAGAGAGAATCATGTAGAACTACAGATGTCCTTTGCCCAGCAAATGATACCCACCAGGTAGGATGTGGTAGGTTCTGGAAACAGATTTAGTTTCTGCTCCTGGCTCTGCCACTTCTAGGTGTGCAAGCTTGCCCAAGTCGGGTAATCTCTCTGAACCTCTGCCTCCTTCTCTCAGTGGGGCTCATGATCCTAGGCTGCCCCGGTCACAAGCTGTTGACTTACGCTGAGCTTCGGGTGAGTTAATCCGGAGCAGGACTTTGCCATTATGTAAGCACCCAGTGAATGGAAGCTGCTGGTTCTTGCTCCCCAGAGGCACGCCTCTCCCCTCCCACCACCTTGCCTCAGTTTTGCTTGGGATTACTCATTCATTCACCCCCTCCCCTACAGAAATCCTGCACACTCTTCAAAGTCCATCTTCAATGTTATCTCCTGATTCAGACCTTTTGTCACCCTTCCCACCCTCCCCATTCTCTGTGAGTATTGCCCAACTTTGGATCTCTCTTGTCTCTTAGGGAGATTTTTCAAATCCTGCCTTGTATAAGTGCTTTTCCTGTGTGGTATGATATAGCCCCGAAGACTGCTGACCTTTGAGGGCAAAAGTGTGTCTTAGTTTTGCAAACCCTACAGTCATAGCACAGAACAGTATTGTAAAGAATATGAAATCACAGTTAAGCACTCGCTGAGTACCTGCTGTGTGTCAAACAGTGCAGTGGTAAGCGGAACAGATAGACTCTGTGCCTTCCCAGAGCCCACTTCCATGGCTCCCACCCCTGTCTCGAAACGATGCTGGCCAAGCAGAGAGGTGCCCCTGTGCCCCCGGTCAGTTTTGTGACCTTGCTCATCAGTGTGTGTGACCACAGACCGTGGCCTTCTGACGGCACCACACTGTGTGTGAGCTGGGCTTGGGGAGGTTGGCCTGGCCCCAGTGTTGGCATCGAGGCAGCCATGGGAGGGAGGGGCTCCAGAGCGTGTGTGTGCAGGACGAAGGGACAAGGGCGGGAGATTGGAGAGGCGCTGGAGAACCGCATGGGTCAGGTCTCTGCAGCAGGTGGAGGAGGCCGTAGCCCCGGGCCTAGGGCCCCCACTTAACTAGCACTGATTCCAAACTCTATGTTCAGGCCCAAGAAAGTGCCCTGGATGGGGCAGGAGGAGCCTCTGGGTTGCACGAACTGGGGCTGCCCTGCAGAGCCGGGGGCCAGTATTAATTGGGTCCTGGGGTGCCCGTAAGCCCATGGTGATGACCACTTGGGCCTCAGGCCTCATGCCAGAGCCGGCTACATTTTTCCTTGGAGAAGGAGGAGGAGACTGGAAAAACCAGTTAGGGTGTGTGAGGCTCCATTTTATGTTGCTGTTAAGGGAATGTTGGCTCAGGAGCCCGGAAATGTCTGTTAAAAATCTGGCTTTTTCCGAAAGCTAGAAGTGTTGGTTAGGTCAGCAAGACCCTTCTATGCGTTGCATCTTGTGAGCTGGCAAGTGGGCAGGCCAAGAGTTTGGGGTTTGCGCCTCCTCCCTCTGACGGGAAGGGTGCCCAGCACAGGGTCCTGAGGGGGGCGAGGGCTTGGTGCAGCCTTGTGTCTGCTGGGCCTGTCACAGGGGCTGGTAGAAGCTGGGAAGGGCACTGGCTGAGTGGGTATTCCTGCACGTGGCCAACCTCATTTTCAGGCTGGGTGGGAGCCATGGGGACGAGCTCTGTGACACACAGCCCTGTGTCCATTCCGCTCTTCTCCAAGTCCCTAGGATTCACGTGGCGTTTTGCAGGAGTTGTCGACCAATATTTGGAATAAATGATTTAATTGCATGTTCTTCGCCCATTCTATTATTCATCGCAGGGAGGAGTATATTAGCTTCCTGTGGCTGCTTTCAGAAATTACTACAAACGTGTTGGCTTAACACAAAACACCAGAAGTTTATTCTCCCATAGTTCCGGAGGCTAGAAGTCGGAAATCCGGTAGGGCCCTGCTGCTTGGCAGGGCTTTAGGGGAGAATCCATTCTCTGCATCTTCAGCTTCTGGGGGCTCCAGGTGTTCCTTGGCTTGTGTCCCTCCAATCTCTGCTGATCACATTGCCTCCTCTCTATATCCCCTGTGTGTCTCTTACAAGGACACTTGTCATAAGATTTAGGGACCTCCAGATAATCCAGGGATATCTCCTCATCTCAGTATCTTTAACTGCATCTGCAAAGACACTTTTTCCAAATACAAGATAACATTCACAGGTTCTAGAGATGATAATATGGACGAATCTTTTTGGGGAGTGGGCAGCATTCCACCCACCACAGGGGGTCTTAGTATTTTTCTAATCATGGCTGTTTTCGCTATTTTAAAACTGCTAGCCACTGGGTTTGTGCTGTTCCTGATTTGTTGTTTGCATTTAAGTTTCATTCATATATATGGGTGTGTGTATGTATACATATAAATACACATACATATGTGTATATATATATATAGGGAGAGAGAGATTTTAATATATGTAGATTTCCCTTTTCCCCGATTTTGGTTTCAGAGAGTCCTTCCCTATTGTCTGATATGTATGATTCATGTTTGCATAAAACCTTGAGAAAGTTGACTTCAGTCCAATGGTAACTTGTTTCGATATTTGCTGTGAGGTGAGTACCTGCAAAACCCAGGGAGCTCCGTGTTAGGCCTGTAGTGGAGTGAACCGCACTGTGTCATGGGCAGCCTCCTGGTTTCCATGATGTACCGTACTTACCTTGGCTGCCACCACTGGGGAAACTGGGGGACAGGTATTCGGGTCGTTTCTGTACTATTTTTGTTACTTCTTGTGAGTCTGTCTTTATCTAAAAACTAAAAAAATTTCAATCAGATTAATTCATTCTCATAATTCATCATTAAATCATTCTCTCTTAATTTGTAAAACATCCTTTATTAAGTTGTGAAATATGTATGGGTGTTTTAGAGTTGTGGTTACACTTCTTTAATTTGGGGAAGAATTGACATCATTTGGTAAATGGTCTTCCTGTCTAGGAACGCGATGTATCCTATTTATTCAGACTATATTTTATTTCCTGCTAACACGTGTTGTTTCCTTCGGGTTATTCATAGATGCAGTTCCTAGATTCAGGTTCTCTCTGTTACGACTGATGAGTCTTTTCCCCAGGTATATTCTGTAACCAGCTTGTGCTGGTTCTGTGTCCCTAAATAGAATCCCCCACACCCTTTAAATACATGAAATTCTTTTAACTTGGGAAAATGCTTTTCATTCTGCAATTAGAGACAATGTTTAACAGGCTTTTACTCGTTCCTCTAACCTGCTCTCTTAAAGGGTATGGTCAGTTATTTATTGTAACGTGGATTTGAGTGGGTGGCTGTGTTCTCCATCCAAGTGAATGGGAGGGGGGGGGCGTCCTTTATAAAGAACTGTGAAGTTCTGTTCCATAAATTTAACGTTAACTACCTTTTGTTGAATTCTGTTTCTTTGAAAATTGTAGAGGTGCTGTGTCTCGGGGACACGTGATTCGCTCCCTGGGGTGTCCTAAGCACAGCCAGGTTGGGGGACAGATGGGGGGTGTGCGGCCCAGAGAGCCGTCTGAGTTGGCTGTGGACTGGCTCCTCGCTCTGTCCCTTGGGGCCCTGAGGCCTGGGTGGCCACTGAGGAGGTCAAGAAGGCCACTGTCAGGGTGAACCCCAGGTCTGAAACTCCTCAGAAATGGAAAATGTCCTGTTAACCCCCTTCTAGGTCAGTCTTACGAAATCCGGCTGCTGGAGAATCGGAAGCTGGGAGACTTTCAAGATCTGAACACAAAATATGTCAAGGCAAGGCTGTGGGCCACCCTCCTTCCTCAGGAGTTGTTGGCGGGGCGGTGGGGGGAGGTGTCTGGGGACCTGGGCTTGCTGGGGGTGGGGTCAGGAGTGCCTGGGAGGTTTGGGGAGAGCTCTGGAGTAGGAGTGGGTTCCTGTTGCGGTCTGAACAGCCAGGGGCAAGCCAGTGGTGCTAAGAGCCGGAGGGGCCTGGGCTGATAGAACGGGCTCTGGGTTGAACAGACTCAGGTTTGAGCCTGGCTTTGCCACTTACTGAACTTTCCTGAGCTTCAGTTGGCTCATCTGCACAAGAAGGTATATAGGTTAGCCGTGTATATAAAGCACTTAGTAATTCTGGAAAAGAGATAGTCCTCATTCTCAGTGTCCTGTTACTGGGGTTCTGAGTGGGGAGAAGCATACAGAGCTTGAGAGCTGGGAAGGAAGGCTCCAGCAGGAGGGGTCTTGGTCTTAAAAGGTGGGAGGTTTGCCCCAGTGGGAGTTTCCTTGGGGGTCCTTCTCGGCCCCGCACTTAGCTGTCCCCCCACCGACCTCTCCTCCCTAGAGCATCATCCGCGTGGTTTTCCACGACCGCCGGCTGCAGTACACAGAGCACCAGCAGCTGGAGGGATGGCGGTGGAGCCGGCCTGGGGACCGGATCCTGGATATTGGTGAGTCTCCTGGGCCATGAGGGGCCCAAGGCACTCTGAGCACGTTGGGGTTCTTCCCGGATGCTGTAGGACTCATGCCTCCATAGGGCACTTTAATACACTCCTGCCCTGGGTGAAGCGCTGTGGGGGCTGGCAGACGTGCCCATGGCACCAGGCCTGCCCTCGGGGGCTTCTAATTCAAAGGCCTACCATCGGGGATTGCTGGGAAGGCTTTGCAGAGGGTTCTGCCTTAAAGGAGTTTGCTCTGTGACAAAGGGAAGCATGGGCATTGCGGAGATGGGCAACAGAAATTGAATTTTGGGGTCTGAGGCATTGGTCTATGCGTAGTCTTTTATCTCGAACCCTGGGAGCCATTGGGTTTTGGAATTCAGACGTTAGAATGACAACTGGGCACGTGGACCCCCTAGTGACAGGTAATGCCTCCCAACAGGCAATCAGGCCCCCTAATATTTCTGCAGTAAGGGTAAAACGTTCACCCAAAATGGGACAAAGACTCTAAATGGCTTCATGGCAGTTCAAGTCGGGCTTGCTGCCAAATGAGTTATGCAAAACTTAGTTTTCAGAACTTTTGGCATTTCAAATTGTGGTTAAGGAATTTGGACCTATAATGAGAGTCCTTCCCGAAATCTTCGGGAGTGGCTGACAATTGCACTTTTGTGTGTGTGTGTGTGTGTGTGTGCAGATATTCCACTGTCTGTTGGTATCTTGGACCCCAGGGCCAGCCCGACCCAGCTGAACGCAGTCGAATTCTTGTGGGACCCTTCGAAGAGAGCCTCTGCGTTCATTCAGGTAAGCGGGAGGGAGGGTGTCCTCGGGGGAAGCCAGAGTTTTGGGGCCTGTATGTTCCTCAAAACAATCCACCCGCGGGGCCCCGACGGGCTCTGTTCTGTGTTGCAGGGATGCACGTTGTAGGGAATGGGGTACAGGAGTGTGGCTCAGTCACAGAGCTGGTTGGTCCCCAGAGCTAAAAAAGGACTTGGCATGTTGTAGAACTCTGTGTGGGTTTTGCTTAACAATATGTAAGCTTGTTAACAAAATAAGTATGTCCTCGCATAGATAATATGTAATAAAATTTTTTTCCAGGAGAGTTTCTATAATTAAATTAATTATTTAGTGATCAAGCACCTGGTGTGGACCCAGGGGGCATGGCGGGGCCGCTGTGCTTCTGGGCTGACACACGCTCTCTCCCTTACTCTATGTCCTTTTCCGAGCCTCTTAGCTTTTCCACCTGTCTTATAAATCAGATAATGAACATAAAGTCATTACTGCAGTGCCTGGTCCATAGCAATTGCTCAGTAAAAGTTAGTGATTTTTTTTTTTTTTTTACATAATTACAATATTCTTATTGTATTTTGAAGTTATGATTACAATATTATTGTATTACCACAATAATATATATTATTGCAGTAGTATAGTATTACAATAAGAAATACGTTACCCAGTGCCTTCTTCTGTAGCAGGTGCTGGTAACTTAGAAATGGTTCTAGCCTCCCGGTCCTGCTCCGGGCCTGGCCCAAGTAACCGGGACGCCAGGGCTGCTGGGGACAGAGCTGTGCAGTCTGTGGGCTCTGCCAAGGGGGAGGAGGGAGTGAGGGTGGGGCCGCTGGGGCCGCTGGGGCCCGAGGGCCTGAGCAGTGGCGAGGACGTAGCTGCTCAGGCAGGGCCTCCAAGGTCAAGGGACAAAGGTGGGAAGGCGTGTCCTTTGTAAAGGGGGCACGGGGAGACCATCGCCCTGATGGGAGTGTGGGTGGGAGAGCGGGGAGGCTGAGGCAGGTGTGCACCTGACGAGGCAGGATGGAAACCTACATTTGGCGAGGAGCCCTTGAGGAGTCCAGGGCCTGGCTTCACCCTTCTCCTTGCTACTGGCCCACATTTCCCCTTCCAGGTGCACTGCATCAGCACAGAGTTCACTCCCCGGAAGCACGGTGGCGAGAAGGGGGTGCCTTTCCGGGTGCAGATTGATACATTTAAGCAGAACGAGAATGGGGAGTACACAGAGCACTTGCACTCAGCCAGCTGCCAGATCAAGGTGTTCAAGGTAGGACGTCCTTGCCACGCTGCACACCTGTGGCCGCCGTGCCCGTGGGGTCCCCGCCTGTGCTAGACAGTGACAGCCGCGCAAGCCCGGCGTCGCATGAGCCTGGGCCCCCGAGGAGTGTGAGCCCGCACGTCGTGGGCTGGCGGGGCTGCCCGCTGTGGGCGTCCTGTGTGGGGGCACCTTCTGTCGTGCCCATCACGGGTGGCTGTGCCCAGCTCTACTTTGTAAGACTGCCGGGACTTGCATGTGTTTAGGTTTTCATTTTCTTCCCAAGCACTTTGTAGTTGGCCACAGATTCTGTAGTTGCCCATTAGATTCTCCTTAAAAATCCCGGCAGGAGACCCCGTGCGGGAGTCCTGGCCCCAGATGTTCTTATGGAGGGCCCAAGGCCGTAGAGCTCCCTGTGTCGCGGCCTCCTGCTGGAGAAGGAAACACGTTTGGAGGCATCTCCTCTCTTTTCCTTCCTGCCTGTGTCCCCCCCCCCGCCCCCCTGCAGTTGCCTGTTCACTACTTTTCATCTCAGCTGTCTGGACTGATGCATCTTAGACATGGTCGGTGGCTGGTGCTGCAGCCCAGGGTCCTGCGTGACCTGGGGAGATGCAGGGTCGCAGCAGAGCCTGTGGCGTCCGCAGGGGTGAGGGAGGGGCGGGCCCTGGCTCAGTTAGCGATGCCGCCCCAGGTGGGAAGGCATGGGCCGTGCTGGGAGCGTGAGATTGTCTTTTGTGCCAGAGCGGAAGCACTCTTCAGAAACGTGCTTCGGGACGATGACTCCTTGCAGTCAAGCCCACCAGAGTTGTTTCCTGCTGCCTCTGGAACAAATGACCACAGGTTTAGTGGTTTCAAGCCACACACGCGTATTACCTCTCAGGGCTGGCGGTCAGAAGTCCGACGAGGTCTCACTGGGCTATAGTCAAGGTGTGAGGAGGGCTGCACTCCTTTCCGGAGGCTCCCTCTCCTTCCCTTTGCCAGCTTCTAGAGGCCTCTGCGTTCCTTGCCTGTGGCCCGTCCGCCTGGCAAGAGCGCTGGGCTCTTGGGGTCACACCGCTCCAGCCTCCTCTCCCCACTCCCTCGCCCACCTTTACCGGCCCCGTGATTACGTTGGACCCTCTGGGATGCCGCAGGCTCATCTTCCTGTCCCCTTCTCCCGCTGCTTGCAGTCCTAATTCCGCCTGCAGCCTTGGGAGCTGACAGCCTCAGGGGTCCTGGGGATTAGGACGTGGCCGTCTTTGACGAGCACTCCTGCACTGAGCCCGTCCACCAGTGCAGTGGGTGCCGCGGCCTCTGGTCTTCCTTCTTACTGCCTGCTCCGGGATCTCGCGGTGCTGACCTCCCGTGGACGGCCCCACAGCTGCACCGCCGGATGTCTCTGCCTGTCCCCGGTCACACCTCTGTCCTCGTCATATACACCACATCTGTGGTCCTGCTGGCCGTCCTTGTGCTCAGGTCCAGTGGCATCCAGTGGAATTCCTGGGGCTCAGAGGCCGCACGGGGCAGCAGGAGAGACAGACGGTGTCTCCCCTCGCCGGAGCGCCTAGGCCTTCCCATGGCCCCCGCCAGCTCCCCTGTCTACACCTCGAGGCAGAAGTTCAGGGGTGAGGGCTCTGCCCACAAGGCTTCTGGACCACACACCAGCTATCACGGGAATTGATCCGGAAGCTGCCTTGTCTGATTGACCCAAGGAAGGCCTTGGCATCTCCTGCAGGGGCGTAGGGGCCCCAGTCACCTGAAACTGGCTTCTCAGAATGCCTGGGGAGGTGTGGCTACCCCGTGCCCCCAACCCCATCACAGAAGCAGTTCAAGCAGTTGCGTGCAAGCACCAGGCAGAGTCTCACCAACTTGGCTGTCATTCTTCCACCCCCAGTCACCCTCGTCACGGGGAAGCCTCCTGCTTGCTGGAGCGAGGCTCAGGCTCTGGGGGGGTGTCAGGGCCTCTGACCAGCCAGCTCTCCACAGGCCTCACTGGGACAAGTGCCGTCCCCACACGCAGGCTCGCCCTATGGCTTCTGGACGGGGAGGAAGAGCCTCCTGTTAGGGGCAGGAGCCGGGGGGGGCAGGTGACTGGGGTATAGTGCTGCATGCCTGGTCTTTCTCTGAACACCAGATCTGTCATCCCTGTCCCCAGAGGACCCCCTGCAAACCCGCCTCTGTCTGACATGGGTATCACATCACCCCGAGGGCGGTCTCCTAGAACGCTCTTGAGCTGGAAATGAAAAGCTGTGTGGCCTGAGGAAGGTGCATTCTGGGATGGAAGTCCCTGAAGGTGACATCACGCTTGAGGACGGGTTGTTTTCACTGATTGCGCACCGTGCACGGTCCACTGAATCCGCAGGGAGACCACTCAGTTCTGGGCTCTGGGGCTGCTTGGAGGCTGAATGTCGGAAACCACCAAGCAGGCTGTGAACTCACAGAAGGTGATAGTCACAGGCTGTCCAGAGTGTCCCAGGAGCAGGGCTGGTGGGCCAGCCTGGTGGTGATACATACCTGGACACGCTCTCTTGGATTCTTGGCCGGGTCAACACTTGGTTCTGCTCCGGGTTTTTGTTTTTGAAGACCCGGACCAGCCAGGGCAGGTTCTTCTCCATTCTTGACAAGTCACTTGAGCCTCAGTTTCCTTACCTGTAAATGACAGGAGTAGTAGTGCCTCTGTGAGTTGCTCATGTTTGCCGGGCGCCCAGCATAGGCTCTGTGAGGTTGGAGGGGTTACCCTGTGTGGGGCGTGTGAGCGGGGAGCTGCACGCTAGTCCTGGAGTTGGGAGGAGGGAGGCCTTCACCATGCGTCCAGGATTTCCCAGCACGCAGGTGCAGACCAAACTCCACCAGCAGCCCTGACTTCTTCCACTTCCTTCGCCCTCCACTGGTAACCCAAGGAACGCATTGCAATTTGCTGTGGCTCCCAAGGGTTTTGTCCATGAGCCAGCAGCCACTGGTAGAGATTATTTCCAAGCGTTTCCCCCTGAGCAGCTGAGTGGCAGGACCCCGTAGCAGGCCGTGAGTTCCCTCAGGTGAGGAAGGGGAAGGGCTCCAGGAGGAGGACCGTGTGCTTGACGCCTGGGAGGTGAGGGAGGATCCTGCCTGGACTCCTGGGCCCTGGGGAGAGGCCGGGAGTGCGCAGGCCTTGGAGACTGTCGCCGAGCCCCGGGTCTTTCTCTGACGGCCGCCTCTGCTCACTTTGGACTAATTGGACTCCGGTGCTCTGCACTTGTAGCCCAAGGGAGCCGACCGGAAACAGAAGACTGACCGGGAAAAGATGGAGAAAAGAACTGCCCAGGAGAAGGAGAAGTACCAGCCGTCCTACGAGACCACCATTCTCACAGAGGTGAGCCAGCCTACTGCCGGGGTGCGGCCCACCCCGCCCAGCCTTCTGCCAGGAGCAGGATGATGGCGCGCTGTTGGTTTAGATTCTTGGGAAGAGCGCCCACCGTGGGTAAATGCCTCTTTTGAAAGTGCCCATGAAGTTGTGGTAGGTTCCCGGGTCCAGAGCTGTGGTTCATGCGATGAGGCCCGGGGCCGGGACAGGGTTTCCGAAATACCTTCCAGCCTAGTGCTGCCGTTTGCACTTGCCAGAATCTGGTGATTATTGTTTTAATAGGTAAAGCTCCAAAATCCAATAGAAGAGAGTGTATATACATCAGAAAATACCTCTCTCCAAACTGTCCTGGCCTCGAGCTTTCCTTCCCCGGGGCGCCTGGTGTCTCTGGGTCCTCACGTATGTGGCCCAGCTTTCTCTTCCAGTGAAGCCAGTTCATCCAATTCATCCACGCCCGCTGCTTTTACACCCAAGAGTGTACACAGACATGCTGTTCTGTAACTTGCTTGCTTTATCTAATAGCCTAGCTTGGAGTCTGTTCCCCATCTGTTCATAAAGAGCTTTCTAATTCTTTATCCAGAGGCGTGGCCTCCGTTGTGTAGATAGATGGCCTGTGGGTGGACGTTTGGTGCTTTCTGGGCCCTTGCTGTGTCAACAGGGAGCAGTGAGTGACCCTGGGTGCGTGAAGTTCTGCATACGGTAGAGATCTCTGCAGACTTCCGTTCTCAGAGTGGGCTCGCCGGGTCAGGGGGTGCGAACTACTTTGCTGCCCCGTTGTTTGGATGGATACTGGAATGCGTTTCCTCCTAACCCAGACTCCGACAGCGCCCTGCTCCCACCATCCTTGTGTCCAACATTACTTCTGAGACACTCACTGTCTCAGGTGCTTCTTCCTCCTGCCACTGGTCACCACTGGGCCACTTCTTTCTGGGCTCTGTTGTTGTTTTTTAAACAACTATTCCCCACTGCATTCTGCAATCAGTCCAGCTCATGGGTGTTTGTTTGTTGAATAATTTGACGTGCTCAGAAAGCCCTCCACAGATACATGACGCCCGGCACCGGCCATGGTGGGCGTTAAGACTGTGTTAAGCGAGGAGAGGAGGCCCCGGGCACAGAGCACCTAAGAGAATGGTGGCCACTCCTGCCTGATGAGGTGTGTGTGAGTGTGTGTGTGTGTGTGTGTGTGTGTGTATGTGTGTGTGTGAGTGAGCATGTGTAATAAACCATGTGCAGAAGGGTATTTGCAACAAGATAGAGTACGGAAGCTAATTTTGCGGTAGAGACAGATACGTACTAGTGTTTTATCAGGCTCAGGATAACAGAGGGTCCTGGCGCAGGAAGAGCCTGGCTTACTCGCGGCAGCAAAGCAGTGCTAGGCCCTGCATTTGTGAATTAGCACTCAGACCAGTTAGTTCTCCCCAGGCCCTAGTCCCCTCCGTGGGGGCGCCCCAGGGTGCCCTCCATGCTCCCACAGCCCTCTGCCTCCAGACACCTTTCCCTTCTAGGCTGAACCTCAACCTCTCTGCTCCTGACTCTCCTCTGAGCTCCACCTGATGGCCAGGGGTGCTTTAGACCATGTCCTTCCAAGCCCATCTCAGAGCGTGGTGCCGTTGGTCAAAACCCCCACCAGGCCCATGACCTTGCCAGGTGTTGGCTTTTCCTCCTCAGCTCCACGAAATTCCAGCCCACATGCACAACAGAGTTAAATATTTACCAACCTGTGGCTCCGTGGGTGATAGTAAATCTTAGGAATGCTTCAAATTGGCTGTCTCCAAAGAGGTGTCATCACAGGGAAGGGAAGAAATGAATACTTTGTCCGCTGGCTTCCGCAACAGGCAAAACCTGTATGTCTTTGCTTTCTTTGGGCGATTCTCACATATGTTCATTTTTGGCTTCTGCACAAAAAGTGCCTTGAGGTCAAGGATCATGTCTTTCGTGTTTTCTTTGTCTCCCTTAGCTCCTAGCAGGACACCTGACATGTAACAAACACATGTAGAATGATGTCCAGAGGGGCTGGCCTGCTCTTGGAGGTGCTCACGTGCCTTGTGCTCTCCAGGGCCTTTCGGGCGATTCTGTTTTCAAATAGTGCAGGTTTTAGTACTGAACTTTTTGGTAAGATTTTTATTTATTTATTTATTTTAGGGAGCGAGAGAATGGGGAGGAGCAGAGGGAGAGGGAGAGGGACAAGCAGACTCCCTGGTGCGCGTGGAACCTGACGCGGGGCTCCATCTCATGACCCTGAGAGCATGACCTGAGCCGAAACCAAGAGTCTGGACGCTTAACTGACTGAGCCACCCAGGCGCCCCAGTACTGAACTTCACTGATGATTTTTGTTTGGAAGTTATCCGTGTCCAGTGCCCCCTCTTTCATGCATGGGCACACATTCATCTACACCTGGAAACCCTGCCCTCTAGGCAGCTGGTCTCTGTTGTCAGCTCTCTTTTCCTGTGGACCCAGGTGACCGATGAGGTTTCTTTCCTTCGTTGGTTCAACTGCTAGGAAGCTCACGGAGACGCATGCCTTGCTTTGCTTGCTCTGGGAATGGCTGAATCTCAGGTCTCTTCTCTGCCGTGCTTGATTTCTTGGGTGTGGCCCTAGTAAACCCACACTTCGCTGCCTCCTGTGGTCCCTGGGAGAATGTGGGGGAATGTTGAGGGATCTGTGGTTTCCTGCACCGGCCTTGACGGATGCTGGTTTGGTGGGGGAGAGGAGCCGGGTCAGCAGCCCTGTGGCCCGAGTTCCTCCTGACTACCACGGCCCGCGAGTCACTGCCGCCTTGTGCTCTTTCTGCAGTGCTCCCCGTGGCCGGACATGGCCTACCACGTGAACAGCGCCCCGTCTCCAAGCTACAATGGCTCTCCAAACAGCTTCAGCCTTGGCGAGGGGTACGTCCGCCGTCTTTCCCTTCGGAGGTCCTGGAGTGATGATGGGTCTCGGCTCCTTTCTTGATCTTCTTCCCTGTGTCTTCCCCCTTTGGTGTGCTGACGCCAGTGTGGGCTGCAGGGAGGCACTTTGAATATGTGCACGTTTTCTGTGCTTGGACACGCTTCTGTAAACACTGTCTGCTGGGGCAGCAGCCCAGAACCCGCCCTCCCACCCCTTCCCCCCCCCCGTAGAAGCAGGTGGGCAGAATGGCCTTCTAGACAGATGGGGCCTTAGGAGCAGCCGTTCGGGTGGCTCAGCGGCTGCGAGGGCCCGTCCTGGTTCTTTCCGGGTCCTTGTGCGCGTTCTCCAGGTAGCATGGGTCAGCGCAGGATGTTTCAGGGCTCGTAACACGGGAGTGGCCTCACTCCTGGTCACCCGGCTCTGCACATGCACAGGCCACACAGACTGTAAGGTGACCGTTGTGCAGGGGTTGGCGGGCATCGGTCCGACCCGTCCCGGGCTGCGTGGCACAGGAAGGGCTCACGGCGCCTCTGTGATGGCTGTGCATATCCTGATCCTGTTTCTGGGGGGCAGCGGGGAGCAGGGAGACACCAGGCAGGTTCAGCAGGTAGGCGTGGAACCTGTGGGCTCCTCAAAGCCCGTGCTTGGCGTACAGAGAACTTTACTAACGGGAGAGTGAGAGTGTCCATGAACTTGATTTCACAAGGTCACGAGGGGCCCCCCTGAGAAGGGGGCGCACATAGCCAAGGTGTCATGCTCAGATTCAGGTGGACCAAGTGTTAAATCCCCCCTTTCTAGGGGTGAGCTCCTAAACCTCCCTCAGCCTCACTTTGTCCGCTACCAAGGGAGTGAGGATTCACGCAGGGACGGGGGAACTGTGTAAGGCGCCCGGTGCCTCACGGACACTGGACGAAGGGCAGCTCTTGTCGCTGATGACCGGTCTGAGGGTCATCCCAGCCAGGGCCTGTTCTTCATTGCTGCTGTGGTAAGGTGCATGCAAAGTAACACTTGCCAGGTTGTCATTTTAAACGTAGAATGAGACACCTACGTCCATCCACGTTGTGCCTTCTCCACGGTGTCTGTCTGGGAGGGTCATTTAAAGATGTATCTTTCTCTTAATTTAAAAAAGTCCAGGTGTTCAGGTCTGTGCCTTCCCCATGGGTGAGCCCCGGAGGGAGGGCGGTGTGTCTCCAGCCATGAGAATGTTCTCCTCGTGGATGGATGCCACTCTGCGGCCTGCCTGTTCAGGGCGGGATACCTCCCCAGGAGCCCGCAGCCCTCTCCTGTCTCCACAGAGAGGGGTTTGGCTGCCGCTGTCCAGGCACCCAAAAGGCACCTGGGGCTCCTCGGGCAGATTGCCCTCCCCTGGGGCCGAGGCTGGTGGGGGATCTCTGCGTGGGAGGGAATCGGATGCAAACAAACCCCAAGCTCGGGGTGGAGGGGTGATTTGTTGGCCCGGCTGTGTTGCTAGTCAGAATGTCGTGTCTGCCCTGAAGGGTTGGTCAGGGATTTTGAGGGATTGTGTGGGCGGTTCCGCCTACGTGTCTCTGACCTGGGAAATTCTTGAGGCCCTGCTGCATTTATAAGGGAGTGCCATTCCATGAGGGGAGGGGAGAGCGCTGGGCTGGGAGAAGGGACTGTCCCCGCAGCTGATCACCGGGTCTCTTCCTTTGCAGGAACAGCTCTCCGACGCACCCGGTGGAGACCCTGCCCCTGGGCAATGATGTAAGTGTCTGCAGCAGGACTCTCTGGCTGTGTGTCCCTGGGCAGACCTGGCGTGGTCATGTCAAGGCCCCCCTCCTCTCTCTCTGCCTGCAGCACCTGCTTCCGTCAGCCTCGATCCAGGATGCCCAGCAGTGGCTCCACCGAAACAGGTTCTCACAGTTCTGCCGGCTCTTCGCCAGCTTCTCGGGTGAGCATCTCTGTGTTGTTCTTAAAACCCACAGGGATCTTAGAAGCACTTCACAAAGCCAGTTGCCTTCCTGGACTTGCCCGCACTCCCTGCTGGGCCATGGTTTGTTCCTGGGGACCCAGTGTGGCGTGGGTCGCTCGCTCACTTTTTGCTGACCCTGGGCCAAGTGCTAAAATAGGAAGCCCTGCCTCTCGGCGTTTCCAGTCGAGTGTGGCTTTCAGGGAGGACCATCTGGGTCCCCTGGGGTGGGCCCTAGTCTGCCCGGGAAAGGTCCCCCGCGCCAGACGGGCTGGGGCACACTCAGCAAGCCTTCTTAGCACTTTTCCCACCAACATGCCGCCCATCCGTCACGCTGTCTCTGGAGCCACGACCTGGGAGATGGTGGTGAAGGCCACAGGGGAGAAGGGGAGGCTGCTTCTTCCTTTACACTCTTACCGGAGGGGCCGGCAGACAGAGACCCGGAGCCAGGGCTGTCTGGCGTAAGGGTAAACGGAGCAGTGAACCCTGCCACCAAGTCGAGTCAATCCACAGTGACCAGGAATAAAGTTTTGACCCAGAACTAGAGGAGTGGCTCCCAAGGACATCTGTGAGAAGGGAAGGAAAACCACACATGGTTGTCTCAGCTCAGCTTTTGCAAGAACTTCGGGGAGGCAGGTACGAGGAGGGTCGGGCGGGGACCCTGTCCTCAGGAGCTTGCAGCTTTGAGTCTGCACAGATGTGTGAACCACGCATTTCAGTGCAGCGTGACCCTTTGGTGGTGGGCAGGCTCAGAGGAGGGATCTGGCTCTGGTCAGGGAGGAGCAGGGAGGGATGCTGCCATTTTTGGGGCGGGAGGGGGGTTGCTCAGCATATGCCTTCCCGAGACTGTGCCCTTGAGCAGGGGCTGGGCCCAGGGGAGGAAGTGAGCCAAGTGGGTATGGGGACAGTGAAATGTCCAGGCGGGGGGTGAGGGGGTGGGAGAAGTGCAAGGGCCACAAGGTGGGGGCCTGCCTGGTGTGTTGGCACAGAGCTGGGCACCCAGGTGAGTGGGGCTGAGTGGACTGGGGAAGGAGGTGAGGTCAGAGAGGGACCGAGGGGCCTGGTAGAACAATGGAGGGATTTTGGGCGCTTTTACTCCTTATGTAGTGGGAGCCATTGTGCCTGCAGAATTATGCCTGGAACTGCATCTGAACCATGGCAGGAAAAGGGGGTTGGATATCGTCGCTCCCGGCCATGTGGCCGCTGGCTGGTTTTTAGCAGAAGGCTGATAGCATACTTGTCCCTTGGAGAGGCCATATGGGCAGTAAGGCTCTAAGGGACTCTTTGGGCTTTGAGGAAGGGACTGCATCCACAGATAAGGATGTTCATAGATCTTTATTCATAATCTCTCCCAGCTGGGAGCAACCCCCGTGCCCATCAGCAGAGAATGGACCCATGATTGTAGCATATTCATGCAACGGATAATACCTGATAATGGCCACGAATGCTCTCTAACCACAGACAGCATGAATGAGCCCTTAAACAGGACTTGGAGGCCGGGAGCCGGACGTAGGAAAGTACATCCTATTCCATTCCGCTTACGTAAATTTCAAAGAAGCCAGCACGACTTTTTTTTTTTTTTTTTTTTTAAGATTTTATTTATTTATTTATTTATTTGACAGAGACAGAGCGAGAGAGGGAACACAAGCAGGGGGAGTGGGAGAGGGAGAAGCAGGCCCCCCGCGGAGCAGGGAGCCCGATGTGGGACTCGATCCCAGGACCCTGGGACCATGACCTGAGCCGAAGGCAGACGCTTAACGACTGAGCCACCCAGGCGCCCGCCAGCACGACTTTTAAGCGCGAGGAGTCAGGATGGTGGCTCCCCAGAGGCGGGGAGTGGCCGGCCTGGGGGGCCAGCGGGAGGTGGGAACGTTCTGCCTCTCACTCCCAGTGGCCGCATGCAGATAGCTGTGCACTTGTGCATTTACACAAGTGCTCGTGTCATCAGCGGCCTGTGCTAGGTTATGTGCACTTGTGTTATATGCCAGTGAACGGTACAGAGGGAGGGACGGGAGCTCAGCTGGTGAGGACCTGTCGGCTTTTGTAAATGTCTGTCTGTTCTGTTGACCTTTGAGAACACCACTCCTCTCTGGGGCTGTGATTTCCTGATGTTTAGCTTTTTGTTGTTTCTGTCTCCGTGGAACGTCCAGTGCCTCCTGAGCATGAGGCTGACTCTTCCCTGTCCCCTGCCCACCGTGCAATGTCTGCAGGTGCCTGAGGACAGAAGCTTTTCTGTGTGTCCCACTAACGGGCGGCCCCACTTCCCTGCTTAGGTGCTGACTTGCTCAAGATGTCTCGAGACGATTTGGTCCAGATCTGTGGCCCTGCAGATGGGATCCGGCTCTTCAATGCCATCAAAGGCCGGTGGGTGTCAGTTTCCAGCTGGACGCAGGGTATGGCAGGGAGCCCCATCTCAGCCAGGGCTGGGCTGGGTCTGCCACAGTGGAAATGTTCAGGGCCATGCTGTTCAGTCCAGCAGCCCTGGCCAGATGTGGCTGTGGGGCACTTGGTCTCAGGCTAATGTGACTGACCAAGCGAGTTTTAAATCTCATTTCCCTTTCACGCATGGACAGCACAGTTTTAGAGTGAGGGCGAGAGACTGGGTGTGCATCTCAGGTCTGCCTCTTAAGAGTTGTACACTAGACGAAAGTCCTAACCCCTGTTGAGCCTCGGTTTCCTCCTCTGTAAAATGAGGGCTGTGGTTCCAGCACCCTAGGTGTGTGAGGATGAAATGAGGTAGGCATGTGAAGTTCTGGAAATGGTGCCTGGGGCAGGGTAAGCCAGAGAAAGTGTTTGCTCTTGTTATCGCCCTGAAAAATACCTTGTGTCTTGAGACGCATGTTCTGGGCAGAGCGCCCTCATGGCAGCTTACAGGACTTGGAGGGGTTGGCCCATCCCTCTGCCTCTGGGCAAACCTGCATGAAGCCGTAGAGGCCCAGCCAAAGGCCTTCTGCATCCCCGCGGCCTCCTTTCTTCTCCCTGAATCCTCTCTGCTAGTTCCAACCTGTGTTCTGGAACGTTCTGGAACGTTCCTCCCCACCACCCCCTCCCCCAATACCTGCTATTTATTTCCCTTCCTCCTGCCAGGAATGTGAGGCCAAAGATGACCATTTACGTCTGTCAGGAGCTGGAGCAGAACCGAGCACCGTTGCAGAAGCGGGATGGTGGTGGGGACAGCAGTCTGTGTGGTGAGTTGTGGGGAGCCCTCCCCTGCCCCGCCAACCCAGGGCTGGTTACCGGGTGGCCAGGTCACAAGAAGACACAGCAGCAACATGAGTCCTCTTGCCCAGAACATGTCCACCGATCACCTCACTCTGCTTTTCTCAGAGGGTTTTTTTTTTTTTCCGAAGGATGAGTTTTTGTTAAACTTCCTCCTGGGATTGAAATGTTTAAGATGGAAGTCCTGTCCTGGAACAGCTGGTCCAGCTTACTTATTTGCTCCCTGGGGAGCAGGCCCAGAGAGGGGATGTGTCCCCCGACAGCCGCTTGCTTAGCCACTCGTGGTTGAATTGGGCATCAGGCGTTCCGGCTCCCAGGCTAGTGACGCTCGATGGCCTGATTCCCGGAGCGCTTCCTCCTGTGGTGTCCCCCCAGCTGGACGAGTCTTCCCCATTTGGTTTGGCGGCTGCCCGAGGGTGAAGGAGCACGGCTGCGGGAGCTAGAGGTACCTCAGGGGCACGTGACTCTTCTGGGTTGGCAGTTTGGAGGCAGTTTGGTGAGAGGACAGAAGCGTCGAGGTCAGCTGAGTCTGGACACCAGTGCTGGCCATGCCGTGTGTTGGCCATGTGGCCTTGGGCAGGGTATCAGGGCCTGTGCATCTGCTTCTGCACGCGCAGATAGCGACGCTACCCCCAGAGGTGGGAGGTTTCGGCGAGACAAGGTGTGTAAGGCAAAGCACCTTGCTTCTGAGCGTCTGTGAGCGCTGACGGTCTGACCAGTGGCTGGTCTCCAGCTGCAGAGTCCTTGCTCTTCTGCGTATGTCTGCAGAGAGCGAGGGAACACCGGAGTAGGAAGGCTCACCGAGTCCCTGTCCAAAGGGCTTCCTGTGTGCTCGCTTACTCGCTTCTCCTAGTAGGCACTGTTGGTGACGTTGTTTCGCTGGGGGGGGGACACTGAGGCACAGGGTGGATCACTGCCCCCAGATGGCAGCATTGTACGTGGCAGAGCCAGGACCCAAACATTCGGACCCTGGGGGCTGGCTTCTGAGCCCTCCGTCTGGCGCCTCTACATTTCTGGAGAACGGCTAGGTCCTTCCCCTCCTTCTCAGCTGTTAGCCCGTGAAGGACAGATCTTGAGCCTTGGGGTTTCCTGCACATGCGGAAAGGGCAGCCTCGTGCATGGCACCTGCTCAGGGCAGGTGCTCCAAGCAGAGCTCGTGATTTATGCTCATGGAGGCCCCGAGTGCTGGTGCTGCCCCCGCACACACCCTGGGGCCCCGGGACGTGTAGAGATTATTCCAGGGCTTGCTTCTAGGGTGGCTGAGTTGGGACATGAGCCTGGGATTGCCTACTCTAGAGCCTCATGTTTCCCCGAGCTGCCGCCAACACGGCCCTGGAGGAGAGGAGGCTTGGGAGGCGTTCAGAGGAGTGTCCCACAGACCCTTCAGCTGCCCCAAGCACTCCTGGCTGCCCCCACACTCACCTGGGGCAGGAAAGGCTGGTGACCACAGGTTACAACAAAACGCGCTGGACTGCAAGCCGTCTGGGTCTTTCTGGCCGGCCTGATTTGTTGGAGGAGTGAACTCAGAAAAAGCGGAAGGGGCTCCGAAATGTTGAAAAGCAGCAAAAGTACATTCGAATCTGTTACAGAAGGAAATGCTAGAGAAGAGCTGTGGCATTCTTACCTGCTGTCCGCACTGGGAGGGGCGGTGGCCACATGCTCTGCACAGAATCTGATGGTGGGTCAGCCTGTCTGAAATCCTGGGACGGCCGATCTGTCGTGTGGCTGGGACGCCAGGGCCTCTGCCACCCCCTCTCAGAGGGAGCTGGTGTGTGTGTGTGTGTGTGTGTGTGTGTGTGTGTGTGCGTGTGCGTGCGTGCGCATGCACGTGCATATGTGCTTTGGAAATACAGGGCCTCTGAAACCAGGGGTTCCTCAGTTGAGGTAGGAGTTTGGGAACTTCTAGTTTAATCCTGTTGTGCTTTGCTTTTGAGAAACCTGAGCCCCCCCCCCCCCCCGGGTGTTGAGTCATCTGCCCCAGGGCACCCACAGAGCTGGGTTTCCTATAAGGAAGCATTTCCGGCCTCCAGGGTCGGTGTTCTCTTCCAGTGGGCTGGTGGTGCTCCCACTGCCCCTCTTCCCTTTGTGGTCACAGTGCTGGAGCGGAGTGGTATTTGTGCTGTGGAGAAGGGCAAGGACAAGACCCTTGTGATGTCAGGTCAGTTACCCCTTGTGGAGAAAGGGGAACCCTCCTACACTGCTGGTGGGAATGCAAGCTGGGGCAGCCACTCTGGAAGACAGTATGGAGGTTCCTCCAAAAGTTAAAAATAGAGCTACCCTATGACCCACCAATTGCAGTACTAGGTATTTACCTAGAGGATACAAACACAGTGATTTGAAGGGGCACCTGCACCCCAGTGTTTATAGCAGTGATGTCCACAGTAGCCAAACTATGGAAAGAGCCCCGATGTCCATTGACAGATGAATGGATAAACAAGATGTGGTATATATACACAATGGAATATGAGTCAGCCATCAAAAAATGAAATCTTGACATTTGCAATGACGTGGATGGAACTAGAGGGTGTTATGCTAAACGAAATAAGTCAGAGAAAGACAATTATATGACTCCTTCATATGTGGAATTTAAGGAACGAAACAGAGGATCATAGGGGAAGGGAGGGAAAAACAAAAAGACAAAATCAGAGAGTGAGACAAACCATAGGAGACTCTTAATCATAAGAAACAAACTGAGGGTTGGGGGAGGGGAGGGAGGGTGGGGGATGGGGTAACCGGGTGATGGGCATTAAGGAGGGCACGTAATGTAATGAGCACTGGGTGGTATACACGACTGACGAATCACTGAGCTCTATGTCTGAAACTAATAATACACTATATGTTAATTCATTGATTTTAAATAAAATTTTTTTTAAAAGTAGCAGTTATCCTTAAATCCCGCTCTTGGCCCCCTGGAGCCATCTAGTGACCCCTCTGAGCCATGGAAAGAAAGGAAAGGGGATGCAGGAGTTCTTCCTCTCGCAAGGGTGTGCGTCTGGCCACACGTCAGAATCACTAGAAGCTTGTTAGAGATACAGAGCTCTCCAGCCTCTGCGCCGCCATGGGCGTCATTGGGTACGGGCTGGATGCAGGAATTCTCCATTTTACGTACGATCTCCCAAGGGAGGCTGGTACAGGAATGAAGAACCGTGGCCTGGCTGCCTTGCCCTTGCCACTGGGCTGTGCAGAGGCTTTGTGCCTGTTACAGCCGGATCCCACGGAATGAGTCTGGGCACGAGTATCCGTACAACCGAGGGACTGATTCTGGGGGGGTGGGTTGGGCTTGGGGGTAGGCAGGCTCCTCAGCAGGGGTGTGTTCTATAGGCCCTGTCCCTTGCCCCTCCAGTGTACCATGCCATCTTTTTGGAAGAGCTGACGACCTTGGAGCTGGTTGAGAAGATCGCCAACCTGTACAGCATCCCCCCCCAGCATATCCACCGAGTCTACCGGCAGGGCCCCACGGGCATCCACGTGGTGGTGAGCAACGAGGTGAGCACTGCCCCCACCCCCACTCGTGGCCCGGGGCTTGGGGCCGTAGGGAGGCGCAGCAGACCTGCTCCAGAAACGCCCCAGCTGGGGTTTGGGGATGACTTCTGCCCAAAGATGGCGAACGGGTTTTGTCTGCATGCCACAGGCTCTTGGCTGCCCCTGGAGTGCAGGGGTGGGGGGTGGGGGGAGTTCCGAGGCTCTGAATAGCTACCTAGTATCCACTCCTTACCCCATCCTCGGCCGGCCGTGCGCCAGGCAGGAACTGTGGCATTGACTGCCCCCGGGATGCTTACAGTCAGGGCTGTGAGAAGTCAGGAGGGAGAGCGGCAGGTCCCAGGGGCGGTGGAATGGACGGCGGTCCGGGTGGTGGAGAGGACGCAGGTCACATGGGAGCCCAGAGCCCTTCTCTGCTGACCCGCGAAGGTGCCATGGCCTTCCTGGGTCTGCCCTTGGCTGCACAGATCTGTGCGGGGCACGAGCGGCCTCTGGCAGAGGGCACAGAGTGATCTGGTCCCACTCACGGCCAAGGAGGGTTTGCAGCTACATCTAGGCATTGCTGATGCCTCGTTTTAAGCTTGTTCTGTCCTGGACCCCTCCTCTTGCTAATGATAGTCTGGAGTGCCGGCATTTATCCACTGCTTACTGTCCTAAGTACACATGTTGTGACTCATTTATTAATCCTGACAGCCTCCCTATGAACTGGGTGAAATCGCATTTCACAGGTAAGAAACTGAGGCCCAGAGACGCTGAGTAATTGCCCCAGGTCGCACGGCCGGTAAAGGGTGGAGCTAGGGTGGGAGCCCTGGTGTCCAGCTGCAGAGCCCACCTCACCTGAGATGACGCCTTTAGAGAAACAGAGCTGGTCTGATGGGAGCAGGGGGGGCACGCTGAGCCCCCAGCAGACCCCAGCAAGCCCATTGTGGGAGCTCTGAGAGCATCTTTGTAGAGGAAATGGTACATGAATGGTGTCTGGGGAAGTAGAGAGAATGTGGGCTCTGGAATCGGACATGTGTTCCCACCCGGACCTTGCTGCTAGGAGCGGTGTGACTCTGGGCAGATTTACTTAACCCCTTTGAGCCTCCGTTTCCACATCTATAAAATGGGGATCATTACACCCACTGAGCAGGCTGTAGTAAGGATCAAATGAGAAAACAAAACAGTGTCAGGCACCCGGAGATACCAGATAAGCTGGTGGTCGTGGTAATTGACGGTGCTAGGCACTTTTAACTTTGGGGAGCAAGTGATGGAGAGATCTTTAAATTTGACAGTATATAAAGTGTAAGGCTTATAATGGTCTGTATATTTCATATATTGTCATTATCAGTGATAATCCTATTCCCACTTGTCATTACAATTGCCCAAGCCCCTTGAATGGGAGTCCCCATTTCATGGGAGTTTGGTCCTGGAGGTTGGCAAAGCGCTGGTGGTTTCCTTCCTCTTGAATTAAAAAGCAATTCATGGAGCACCTGGCTGGCTCGGTTGGGGGAGCATGAGACTCTTGATCTCGGGGTTGTGAGTTCGAGCCCCATGTTGGGTGCAGAGATTACTTAAAAATAAAAAATAAATTCACAGCATAAGTCAGGAAATATAAAACAGCGGAGGGCAAATGTGAAAGGCACTTGTCTTCCCCACTCTTTTCCTAGAGGAGTGCATATTAGCTTGGATGTGATTCTGCCAGATAATGTTTTGTGCGGGCATCTGTCGTGTGCCTGAGCATTGTGTAGGTGTGGATTCCTAAAACACGCAGCAGAGATCCAGCTGTACATTTATCTGCCACTGGCTGGTTTTGCCCCCTGGTCAGAATTCCTTCCATATCATTCCATTGAAATCTCAGGCAGCTGTTTCCCTATCCCCACTTCCCAGACAGACTGGAGCCCAGGGTTCCTGACCTGAGCACTTCCTTGAGAATAGCCAGGGAGGTTCTGACACCTGAGCAGTGAGTGGGCTGCCGTGGTGGCGCAGGAAAACTCGGCACTCTGCATTTCGGAATGAATTTCTTTGGTGAAGACAAAAGCCAAGAATGTGCGGAACCCTTGCCGTGTCACGGGTCCCTACAGGAAGTCCCTTCCCCAGCTCGCCCTGTGCCCTCCCGAGTGGGCAGTTAAGCAAGTGAAGCAGAGAACAGAACCACAGTGCTACCTCAGCTAAGTAGGCGATTCATATTCCCCGAAGTCTCCTTGCCTCTTAACCCTGAATCAATTGGAAACCTTTGGTTCTTAATTGCCCCGACTGCTGTAGGCAGCCCGGCCAGCCGCCGCGGAGCCGGCCCCTGAGGTGCAAGGGCACTTAATTAAACAAGGGAGTTACTGATTAAGCCCATGTGGGCTCTGCGTAGGGCTTCGCATGCCCAAGTGGCTGGGCTGCCAAGAGTCCTAGAGGGAGCAGGCCAGCAGTATAGAATAAATGTACTTCACGCATCATTAGGCTCCACAGGAAGGGGCAGGGGTCGACAGGTGGATGGATTTGCAGGATTTGGGGCAATAATCCAGAGGAGGCAATGACATGTGGGTTGCATTTTTTTTTTAATTTGGAAAGGGGTTTTGCTGCGTGTTAGGTAGTATGTGTGTTGTGGGTATGTTTTAAATATTTTTTAAATTGTCTTTTTCCATTTATATTGCGAAGTACGGCATATGTATGCAAGGAGTATATAGAACTTATTTTTACAGTTTAAGGAAGAAGTAAGTGCCCAATACCTGCGCTCAGGTTGATGCAGTATTATGTTAGAAGCCTCTTTGTGGGCTGATTACTCTTCTGCTCCACCTCTCCACCTCTCCACCTGCTGGTCTGAATTTCGTACTGATTATTCCCTTTTCCTTCTCAATATATTGTTTTGATTTTGCCCATTTTAAAACTTCATATAGGTGGGATAATAGCATGTTTTCCTGTGACTTTCTTTGATTTTACTTTATATTTTTGAGATTCACGCATGTTGAGATGCTGCCGGAGGCCCCTGGCCCACTGGATGGCGTGGCGTGATTAGGTGACAGTTCGTTCGTGCTTCTACTACTGACTGACATGGGGGCTGCTTCCAGTTATCTTTTTTTTTAAAGTTTTTATGCAAGTAATCCCTGCATCCCACGTGGGGCTCCAAGTCAACCCCGAGATCAAGAGTCGCACGCCCTTCAGGCTGAGCCAGCCAGGTGCCCCTCCAGTTCCCGTTCTTACCAGCCAGTGCTGCTGTGTGCACGTGCAGGGCTTTCTCTAGGACGCTGGCCTGGAAGAGTAAGGTACCCAATCCTGTGGACAGCTTTGTAAAGTGGTTGTAGAGATTAACGCTCCACCAGCAGTGGGGGCCAATTCCTATCGTTCTGTATATTGGTTCTGTTCTTCTGTCTTGGGAGCAGCCCCATTTTACAGATGGGGCACAGAGACCAGAAGGGGAAAGGCTGACTTCTCCAAGGTCACCTGGTAGTTAACCAAAACAAGAACTGCGGAGGCGGCTGAGTAATTGTTCTATTCCTGCCACTTTGTGGACATAGGGAGTGGTGCTATGTTTATATTGGTCCTCATAGGACTCTGATATGCAGAGGCTACTAATTACCAAGGTTTGTTTTTTTTTTTTTTTAGCACTTTAGTTTTTTTCTTTGTTGATATTATACACATACATTCTCTTATAATGTGTCCGTTATAGGGATTGGAGGTCCTAGTAAGTAGGAAAAAGGAAAACGAAAGCAAACAAACATGTAGTCCTGTATTAAACGTTAACATTTCACTTCCCTGCCTGGGTCCTTTCTGTCCTTTATGGTCAGGTTTTGTTAATTACGATTGCGATCATCTCGTACATTTATCTTGTTTCGTGTTTCCTTAGTGAGTGTTAAGTGGAACTATTTTCCTGCATTTGTGCAAACACAGTGACTGTCATTTCTGCCTCCTACGGTGGCTGGGCCCCGTGTCACTGAGGCTTTTCATATTATGAACTCACTGTTGAAGGGACATGGTCTCTCTTTTTGCCTTCCAGATGGTGCAGAATTTCCAAGATGAGTCTTGTTTTATCCTCAGTACCTTAAAAGGTAAAGCCCCCTCCCCGCACACCCCTTTTTCTTATTCAGTTGAAGTAAGCGGGGCCTGCCTGCACAGTGGGTCCCTCGAGAGACATTACCTGGGAACATCCTCTGGGGAAAAGGACGTTTCCCGTTTCACGTCCTGTGAAACCCTGCCCTGGAGATGTGGGAACTTTTGAGATTGGCTCCAAAATCAGTTCTGAAAGGGAAATCCTGGCCAGGCAACGTGTTCTCCATGAACTCAGTACTTGAGTAGAAGTAAGATGCATTTGAGTTTTTCTACAATGAGGGTCTCTAGGAGGAGCAAGTGTGGAATACAGCAGCTGAGCCTGCAGGCCTAGTAGGTCAGGGATCTGGGGCAGGGGTGGGGCATGAAGGTTTCACCTGAGGAAGGGGTCTGAAAGGAACATCTTGTCCCAGGAGAAAGGGGAGACTAGCTGTGACCTTCCTTAGGGCTGGGGCAGGTGAATGTATGGAGTATATCAGAATGAAAGCCCTATGACTGGGTCATAGACCCTGAACGGTGACAGGGCCATTTTTGTCCTCCCCTGTTCTCTAGATCTAGCCAGCAGCTGCCTTCAGAGTGCTGGGGGCCACAATACCCTGAGAACCACAGTTTGTCCAAAGCCTTCTTGGATAGAGAGCCTTTAGTTCTTGGGCCTAGAGCTGTGGTAGAAAGGCCCATTGCCAAAGAGAAACTCAGTAAGGCAGAAGGCATGTGAAGGCATGTGTTGAAATACCTATTTTTGTTAGCACACTTCGCTCCAAGCAATTGTGTTTGGAGCCAGTATCCATGGCGGGGCTTCTGGTACACCCGTACCATGCCCTCCCCGATTCCCCAAGGTCACAGCGTCGTGCCTTTCTTCCTGTAAAATGCCCAGTGTTTGTCTTTGCAGCCGAGAGCAATGATGGCTACCACGTCATCCTGAAATGTGGCCTCTGAGCAGAAGTAGCGTGTGTAAAGTCAAGCCTCCACCTCCCAGCCCCGTGGATTCCCTTGGACGCAGAAGTGGCACCTCTGTAGCCTGCAGCCTCACCTGGCGAGCTGTGACTAGGAGGGCCTTGGCCCCGTCTGAAAACCACGGACCAGTAACAGCGGAAACCCGTGGATGCGGTCTCTGGCATGCGGAAAGCCAGTGGCTCCTCTCTCCCTTCCTCTTGGCCTCCAGCTTTTGAATCGTTCCTTGCTCTTTGCCTGCTGTCCTAGAGAGGCAAACAGTGGGGGCATCTTCTCTGAAACCCCTCACTCCCTTGTGGGAGGCTAGTTCACTGGGTATCCTGGTGCCACTGTACCCTTCTGAACCACTCCCCTGCCTCCAGGGAAAGCCCTGCCTCACCCCCAAGCTTCCCCTTCTTTGGTAACCGGCTCCGTGACCAGGACTGCTGACTGGATGTAGGTGGGTCGCCTCCATTCTGTCTTAATGTTGGTTTCCCTTCTCGGCGACCCTGGTGAGCATCTGTCTTTCCAGTTCTCGGATGGATTGATGGGAATGGGATTTATTCTGCGCCTTCTGCTTCTTTCACCTTCACTCTCATTTCTAAGGACCTGCCGCCGCAGCGCCCAGAGATGGGCTCTCCTGTCTCTGCGTTAGTCATGTAGACACTACAGTGCATGTGTAGGACCCGCCACACAGACCCGGGTCTGTGCCCTTGGGAGGGAGGGAGAGGATAGAACAACTATTTTCAGGTACTTTCTCACGCATATAAAAGGGATGAGAACAAAACGATTTATTTTTTCTTGAACTTATTTTATATAATTTTATTTCCTCAGCAATCATGGGTAAAAGGAGGACATTTTAGGAAATGAGTGTCCCACTGTGTGATCAGATGACCTTGACAGTCATGATAGCAGGCCCTTGCGCATGGACTGAACCAAGTCCCGAATAGAGAAGACCTTGGTTAACCACTGCCAAACTTGCCAAGTTTCCTAGGGACTTTGTCTCCTCTCTGAGGACCCCCATTTAAATGTTTATCTTTTTTCATGTGTAGAGGGAGTGTTTAGGGCATTTTGCCTGCATTGGGATGGTTGGATCACCTCTCTTAGTGGCTTAATTATGGGGAAATTTGAGTATACTCAGGAATTAGTCTTCATCTTGCCTCTGTTTCCTGGGACCCAGTCATCTAAACCCTTTGCTAACTTAGGTTTTTCTTCCAAAGCACCAGGAAGCCCTATGACCAACCGAGCAGGATTTTACAACTTCTAAAGTGCAGCTTTGGGGAATATAGGGAATATAGTGTTAGGGTCAAAGATGATCAGAACTGGGTAGACCTTGTTTTACAGATGAGGAAACTGAAACCTAGAGGGGCAAAGCCACCTGCCTGATAATCACATAGTGACAGGGCAGTGATAGAAATTTATCATATAAATCAAGACACTTCAGATGGCGAAAGGGGCTCTCTAGTCATGGTTATGTTGGGACAACAGGTATGGTGTTCCTCCAGACTACAACAGGCTCCTGATTCCTTTTCTGTTTTAGGGGAGGATGGGGAGCAGGTAACAGCTCTATTGAGCTATAATTCACATACCATACAGTGTACCCATTTATAGTATACAACTCAGTGGTTTTTAGTGAATTCACAGAATCAGCACATTCAATTTGAGAAGATTTTCCTTACCCCCAAAAGAAACCCTATTCCCTTAAGCGATCACCTTCCCTCTCTCCCCCCAACTTCGTTGGTCCTAGGCAACTGCAAATCTACTTTCCATATAGATTTACCTATTCTGGACCTATCATGGTGGCCTTTTGTGGCTGTTTTTTTGTTTTTTTTTTTAAACTAAATGTTTTCTAGGGCCATCCAGGTCGAACATGTATCCATACTTCAATTCTTGTTAGAGCTGAATAATGTTTCGTTCTACACTACACTGCATGTGTAGGACCCGCCACACAGACCCGGGTCTGTGGATATACTTACCACATTTTGTATATCCATTCACCGGTTGATTGATACATGGGTGGTTTCTACTCTTTGGCTATTATGAATAATGCTGCTATGAACATAGTTGTACAAGTTTTTATGTACACGTATGTTTTCATTTCTTTGGGGTATATACTAGGAGTGGAATTGCTGGGTCATATAGAACTCTGTGTTTAAGTTTTTGAGAAACAGCCAGACTGTTTTCCAGAGCAGTCAGACCGTTTCACATTCCCACCAGCAGCGCACGAAGGCTCCGATTTCTCCACATCCTCACCAACGCTTGCTAATTATCTGCCTTTTTGATTAGAGCATTCTAATGGGTGTGAAGTGGTGTCTCCTTGTGGTTTTGATTTGTATTTCCCTGACGGCTAATGATGTTGAGCCTCTTTTCATGTGCTTATTGGCCATTGTTTTCTTTGGAGAACTATTTAGATCCTTGTCCATTTGTGTTTGGGCCATTTGTCTTTTTTTATTACTGAGTTGCATGAGTTCTTTGTATATTCTAGATGGAGATCCCTTATCAGATACATGATCTGGTAAAACTTTCTCCCATTCTGTGTATTGTCTTCACTTTCTTATGATGTCCTTTGGAGCACAAAAGTTTTTAATTTGGATGACGTCTAAGATATGTGTTTTTGTTGCTTGTGCTTTTTGTGTCGTATCTGGAAAACCATTGTGTAATCCAAGGTCAAGAAGATTTATGCCTTTGTTTCCTTCTAAGATTTTTTTTTACAGTTTTAGCTCTCCAGTGGCCTTTGATTCATTTTAGGTTACTTTTTGTATATGGTATGAGGTAGAGGTCAGCATCCTTCTTGTGAGTGCAGATGCCCGGTTCCCCCATCAGTTGTTGACTCTTGCTAAAGGCCCCTGATTCTTACTGGATCTTTTCTTCTGGGGCATGGGGCTGTCATTGGGAAACTCCTTTTTTTTTTCCTTCTTTTTCTTTTTTAAAACCCAGTCTATGTGTGACTCCACCATTTTTATGGCTGTCTTTCTGTTCTCCGCCTACTGTCTCCCCCTTAACCTTCTCAGCAGTACTGGGTCATACCGCACTCCGCTCAGAATTCTGCAAGCCTACTTGGTGCATGTTCTCACTCCACACATTAGTCCTAGGGGAAAGTCAGGACCAGTCATTTCCTTTCTGGAGGAACCTCAGTCACAAGGAAGTGGAATCATTTGCCCAAGGTCACACAGAATCAGGACTAGACCTTCGGTGTCCTGACTGCCAGTCTTTCAGGTTGTCTGTTAATCGCTAGACCTAAGTGATGCCACTTCCCAGGCCAAGTGATGAACAGGCTTGATTTTCACTATAGAGATGTGGTAGGCTAATATTTTTATTTCTTAATTCCAGATAAGGGTCTAATAAAGATCTGTTGTTACCTTAAGTTCTCTGTTAGTGGAGTCTTCCATTTTCTGGAACCCCCACTGCTGTCTGTTTTTTAGTTTGTCTGTTTGAATCTTTTTTGTTTTTTTAATATTTTAAGTAACCTCTATACCCAACATGGGGCTTGAACTCACAACCCTGAGACCAAGAGTTGCAAACTCTACTGACTGAGCCAGCCAAACGCCCCTTTCGCCTTCTCCTAACGATTCTAGATGAATCTTGTAGCTTATAAAGAAGTAGAAAATAAATGCACGTCATAATTTGGTACCAAAATGTAAGCAGCTTTGTTTCGGCGGCTTGTCCTCCTTGCACGGGAGTCAGATGAGCTGGTTGTAGATTTAATTTTTTTCATTTAAAAGTACAGAAAAGCCAGAGCCCTCCCCACTCCTGTCCACTGCCTTTCCCGTGAGCTCTGAGGCCAGAGTCTGGGGCTGGGGGCTGGGGCAGCCTGCCCAGAACTGTAGCCTCCACCCCATGGGTTCTAGGCTGTCGCTTCTCCAGTGGCTCCTTCTCCAGCAGCCATTTTTAAAGGTGTGATCCCCGGAGAGAAAGAAGATCTCCCCATGTGCTCAGGCCACCATCTTGTGAACCAGAAGCCTTGAACTGAGTTCCTTATTCTCAGGCCATCAGGTTTCTTTTTCTGTTTGCAAGGTTGTGATAAACCTTATCAGGTCTGCCAGGTTGCACCTTTAGAATGAAGACACAGAGGCTTTTGAATGGGGGGACAAAAGGATTTGCTGGGGGAAGGGATGGACGGAAAGAACAGGATGGAGTAGGGAGTTTGAAGTCGGGGCTTAGGGTCCAAAGCAAAGGTCAGCCAGTGGACCCGCTGACCCCTGCTCAGGCAGCCTCGGGCCCCTTGGGAAGAGCTGTTAACCTAGAGGGCGCTTCCCCGGGAGAGGACTGGAGCTGGCTGAGCTGTGGGTCACAAGTTTCCAAGTCCAGAGTGGCTTCGGGGCCCGGCCTGAGTAGCTTAAGCTCGAAAATCATTAACGAGTTGATGAGAAACATGGAAAACCTCTACTTGCTGTTGCCCGTGGAGCGGAGGGAGCAAGCCCGGAGGCTCGCAGAAGGCGGAGGAGCAGAGGATGAGGGGCGGGGGCAGGGGACGTGGATGTGGCAGTGCCCGAGGGTGCAGGAGCCAGGGCCCCCAGACCCTTGCTTGGCCCGAGTCGTGGCTGACTCGGTCAGGAGGTGAATGTGAGGTGTGGCAGGGCTTTCCCACTCTTCCCTCCGTAAGGGCCTACGGCGGGCAGGTGACGCGCTGGTGTGAGAGTGTCCCGGTTATACGGAGCACCGCTCATGCCCCCCCGCGCGGGCTGCTGTGCACCCCGCGAGGTGCCCCGCAGCGTGAGGTCTAGCGCCTGGGCCGGGTCTTTAAGAAGCGTGTCTTGCTCACAGCTGGGTGGCTGCTCCATCAGCGCCCTTAGAGCGGCGACCGGCTGTTCCCTGGCAGCCCCAGCCCGGACTCCGTGCCTGCATTACAGGTGCGTGCCGGCCAGCTCTGTGCCTACATTACAGATGCGCACGCACGTGCATGCACGTGCGTGTGCATGTGTGTGTGCACGCGCATCGTCAGCGCAGACCCCTTTCCTCGCTCCTGCATCTGGCGTGAGCGCAGCCCTGAATCTTCTCAGCTCAGCCCGATGCGGTGATTCATGCTCTTCCCTTTAGATCTTGCGTGACGCTTGTTCAGGCTCTGTTGATGAAACTAACTGGTCAGGGGTAAAGTTGCCCTAGTTAGCAGGGTGGGGGTGGGGATGCACACCCTAGGTCCATCTCTTCCGGGGATGGGAGCAGTGCTGGCAGCGGACATCTGACAAGGACCCCAAAGCCGGGGCTCACGGAGTCAGTCTTCCACACCTCTGCCTCACGAGCCCTTTCTCCCCTCGAGTTACTTGCTCTGGGTATGATACCATCAGTCAGGCTGTAGCCGGTAGGAAGTGGTGGTACACTCTTTCGATCACCTCCCAGCCCCTTCCCTTTGCCCCGTGGGGGCAGGGCAGTGAGGTGCTGGTCAGGCTCCCCCAGGCCTTCCTGGGACCCAGCCAGGCTCCCTGGGAGCTCCTCGGAGCTCTCCAGACCTCTCTGCAAAGGCTTCTCCCAGGCGTCCTTCCCCTTACTCCCGTGGGGACTAGCCAGTAGTTCCGAGTGGTGGCTCCTGGGCCAGTGGCCCAGGGCTGGACCTGCCATCCCCCACTGGCTTGTAGGGACTTTCTAGGGGCAACGTCCCCAGGCAGTAGCTCTGAGAGGTGGGTTTGGGCTGCTGATGGTGATGCGATGGGGAGGGGCAGTCACTGCCTAGTCTTGGGGTGACCAGCCCTGCCATCCGAGCAGCCATCCTAGTCCCCTTCCAAAGGGGCTGTGTGGAGCCTATCTTCATGACCTTCATCTTGAGGAACCCGGGGCGGCGG